GCATTTGGATGATCCAGAAGAGGATTGGGAACATCCAAATCACTGCTCTTGAGGAGTTTTGCATGGAGGAATGGGCCAAAATACCAGCAAAATGTGTGAAAAACTTGTGAAAAACGTACACAAATGGTTTAAGCTCTGTCATTGCCAACAAAGGGTATATAACAAAGTATGGAGATGAACTTTTGTTATTGACAAAATACAAATTTTCCACAATAATTTGCAAATAAACTAAAATGATTTTGTTTTATCCAATTGTTCCAGAAGTTAACGCCTGTTAACAGACCTCAATTGAGCAAATCAAGGCCTAAGTACAAAATTAAATGAGTACAATGGTATGATAAGACCAGGCCAGGAGTGAAGTGTCTTGCATATAGACACAACATTCTTCCATTACAATTGTAGCTTGACTTGTTTAGCTTATAAGTGAGTAAAGAGATGGGAGCCGCAAGTTTCCAGCGATGTAGTTGTACAAACACCAACCCCCGAGAGATACAAAGTGACAAAGGTCATTCTGGACGATTACCCTAACCATTCTGGAATCAGCGTTAAATGAACCGTTGTATTTAATGTGATAGTAAGTGATTTAATTAAGAGATTGGACTGGAGGACTGGACCACTGTTGTGATGTTAATGACCGCATAAGAATGACTGAGATATTGTAATTACACATAGTACATTGAGCTCTCACCATTAGCATTATGTCAGTGCAGTGGTCACATAATGGGGCTATTGGAAATTGGTGATGCGTCGCTAGGCTGGCTTTTTTATTTAGAGTGCTGAAAACTGCGTCCAGGTACAGTATAATACAAAATGATGTGGCCTATATTCTATTGTGGGCATGTGCCTTGTGCAACCGAAATTGAAAGGGATGCCCAGACTCATTCAGAATCCATTAGAGCGAGTGTGCTCCGTATGAAATCAAATGATAAAGACATTAGACAGTAAATATGACATGTCTGTTTAAGAGGGGACCTTTGAGTAATGGACCAATCTAACAAGGACCAAGCGTCATCTCTGAACGCTGAATCGAACGAGGACTTCAAATTATACTATATACTCGGGTTGAAAACAAAGTACAAAATCACGGTAGTCTTTGCCAGCTTTCTAAGCTTCCTGGATAAAAGACTAAACTTAATTTAGTTTTTAAAAATAATAATGCATTGGTTTTATGTAACTTTTTTTTTGGGTCACTCAAAGACGCTTCACATGTCATTATTTATTCACTTCACACAGTGGTGATAAACTACTAGCTGCCCTGGGGCACACTGACAGAAGTGAGGCAACCAGTATGTGCCATCTGCCCCTCCCACCTCCACCAACCATTCACACACACAACACTCATTCTACTGTGGGTCAAGTGTCTTGCCTAAGGACACAACAGCAGCTTGGCACTGAACAGCCCCACAGTGGCACCTGGTGTTCCCAGAGGTCTCCCATCACAGTACTAACTTAGCTTCAGAGGTCTGAAGGGATCTGGCTTTCACATGCTTCAAACTTCTCCACAATTTTTTTCTCGGCCTCTCTTTTTCCTTCATGATACTGTTGAGTGACCCATACACTCGACCATAGCATCGAGTTAATTACACACAGGTATTTATTCCCATTTTTCATTCTCATGGGGACCATCTTGCTGAGAAGCGAGAGTGCTAACCACTCAGCCGCCTTTTGGGGCTCTATATGTAAAAAGCTAGACAGGAAAATTCCCATATAACAATGATACTAGACCCAAATGACTTGATTATAGTATAAAACATTAACACTTGTTTGGCTTGTTAGTTTTGGAAAACAGTCGTGTCTTGTTAAGTGTGCAGTGTTGCCATGTTCTTCTTTCATTTTCAGAATAATGAAATGTTTGAAGGAAATTTGTGAAGAATTAAACGCTGATTTAGCCTCAAACACAGGTCTGACGTCTGCGATTATACTGAGAGATCACAACGTTTTAAAGCTTTAGAGAGATGTGTTATTACATTTCACTTCAGCTTCCTGTTACTTTGCAATTTTTCAATAAAAGAAAACATACAAAATAGAATAGATAAGTACAATATTTATGTTTGTGGTTGTAAACACAAAAACGTTGTATTAATACTTATACAGGCCTCTGTGTATGCATAATTGGTTTAGAAAAACAGTAATGTTGCTTTTTTTTGTAGAGATTAGCGTAGGAAGGTGCTTACACCGTACAGGACAGAGATGAACAGAAATAGGCAGAGGATTTTATATAAAAATATGTTGTGGTTCTTGTGCATGAATGATTTGAGTGGGCATAAACTGCGATTGGCCGACCATAGCGGGGGATCAAGGAGACTCAGCTAATCATGTTTGAAATGATAATGTAATTAAACTATCAAAAGCAGAAACTGCGCCGGATAAACAAGGGTTTATACTGTACTGCTGTAATTAGGCACAGTTGGAGGTGTTCAGAAATCACATTAAAAAGCGGCTCATTAGTTATTAACTCCTATTTTTGTCAAGAGAAGGTAAATTATTATTCTTAATTTTAAGTATGATTATTTAAGTGGACCTGCAGCCCCATTGTCAGCAGGGATCTGGGTGTAAGTACTGTGTAAGTTTGGGTTGTACCAAAAATAAACACAGACTGTAAACGGAATATCAGGTTGTTACATCAAAGGTAAGATATTAAATTTGGTTAGACTTTTTCATCTTAATTTAACCAGGAAAGAACTCTGCTTTTAGATTACCCCATGCTTTGATGCATTTCAAATCTTATAACACTTTTAGATGTGTCTAAACATATCTTAAATGTCCATGTGGAGGCCTTTAAAAGAGGCCTAAAATCCTAAAAGCTGGTTAAGCAGGCCTGTGCGGGATTTTATTACCTTTTAACGCCTTTGTTTTTTTGTTATTGTATGTACTTTTGATGTTCTTGCTTTTTGTTGTTGTATTGTCTTATAATCTGTAGCACTTTTAGGTTTTCCGGAGATAAGGTACAATCTAAATTCAATGTATTGTTATCATTATTAAAATGAGGTCTCTTTCTGGTCTATTTTTTAGCAAAATTTTTCACAATTTTTTTTGTCTTTGAGATTTTAGTGTTTTTTTTTTATTTCAGTATAGAGTTAATGTTGACTTGTGCTGTGTGCTCCTCATTCCTACTGTTCTGTAACCAGTGATGCAACACTGAAATTTCCCCTCTGTGGGACGAATAAAGAATCTCTTCATTCTAATTTGCTAGCACGACTTTATTCCTGGTCAAAACGCTTTCCACTTTTGTCAGTGTTTTAAGTTTTCACCTGAAGAGAGGCTCAGAGATCAGCGCTGAGGCAGAAACAGGCAGTGCGGATGTGAGCGCTCCAGAAGTCATCGAGGAGACAAATTAGTGCCATCGCAACGCAGCCCAGTCTGTGTGAGCAACAAGAATCTACTTATATTATCACAGACACAAGGGCAGGATATTACACAGCACTTAGAGCCTACGGCAAATGTTCCTAAAAGCATGACTCAAACTCATGGAGCACTTCTCTCCATTTGAAGGAGCTGAAGTATGAGTGAAGAGGTGGGACTGGAGCGTGGCGTCCTGGAGGTGGCCTGGCCCTGGGCGTGTGTGGATTCAGACATGAGGTCATATACTGTTGTTGTGCCTCTATGGAAGTAGCTTTGTGGCTGTTAAAGCTCATGGGAGTGAAAAGCCTATTGCATAATGAGTCCCCTGAAATAGATGCAGTGAAAGGTACAATACAACTTTTCAATAACACATTTAACCAAAGCACTGTGCCCTGGCCTTTATGACACTTTACTGCACTGCTAAATGTCCATTGTGTAGTGCACTTTACTGCACTGCTAAATGTCCATTGTGTAGTGCACTCTGCTGCACTTTTATGTGTATTGTGTGTACTTGGTGCACTTGTATATAGTAGTATTTTTAAGAAATGTTAGATTTTTATTTCTTTTTTCCCCCTTATTCTATTTTTTCCATTAAAACGTGTTTGCACTGAAAGCCAAAGCAGATTCCTAGTTTGTGATTTCCTGTTACTCACAGTAACAATACAAAGAATATTGATTCTAATAAAGTCAACACTTTCTACTAGATCCTCGCTCTAAAAAGAGTTTGTCGCATGTATGGTTTGGTCACTGTCACTGAGTGAGGGTGGTCCTGTTTTTTTGCCTGAAAAAGTTGATCTAAAGAAGTGACAGAGTCAACACTCAGCCCAAAGTGTCTTGTACCTTTAACAACACTCTATGTTAGGCAAGTAATCATTTATAAAAAAAATAAAATTGGGTGCCCTGGCTTTAGATTTAAGATTGATAACGGCAAGAGTGAAGTCTACAATAAATGCATTGTTTTCACAAACACCTATGTGTGCGATACCAGGCCTTTTTCTCTTGTCTAATTTGTTTCTATTATTACTATATGATCTGTAATAAAGAGATGTTTGGGCTGGGAGATTATGCCTTTGTCAAAGGTTACGCGTGGCGGGTAATTAAGGTCTTAACCTTTTGCTCCACTTGTCTGATCAGAAGAAAACTAAGTGTCTATGCAGAACATGACATATTCACCTCTCAACTTGAGCCGAGAGGTGAATATGACGCTGAGGTTCCATTTATGGTCTTGTTCCGTAAAGTGACAGTGTCATTGGAAGATAAGGAAACAAACTATACGGAACATTCTCCACGTAAATATACATTATTTTACAAAGTTAAAAAGTGCAGTGTATGGTGTCAGAGGCGCTGATAGAGGCCTCCTCAGGGAAAGATTAAAAATTTAATATCAACAAGGAATCGGTTAAACTTTACATATTCATGAATATCCCTTCATCGATTCTAGCGACAGTGGAAACCAAAAAGACGAAGTCAGACGTTTAATTTCAGACAGTGAGAAAAACAAATGTGCCTTTGTACACAGCATTTTTACAGATGTTACACCAACACATTATTAATGATATTTTGAATTAAAGACATTTCTTAATAAATATGTTCAGCCACTTTGTCCATCAGGACATGGATGATTGTACATGTGTTGCCATGGCGCCCGCCGCCTGGAGTCACTTGGTGGCGTCCTCCTGGATGTTGAACTGGTTGTTGGGCTTGGTGGACTCCAGCATGAGCTCGTACAGCTGTCCCATTTGTTCTTCCTGAAAGTTCTTCAGATGTTCCTCTGAAAGTTCGGCTCCGAAGGGCACAGAGGCCAGACGCTGGCCCTGGGACTCCAGGACCTGGCTCTGCAACGTGGACTTGTAGTTCTGTGGGGGAGGGAGAGAGACAAAACAGGTTTTATGTTAAAAAGTTAGAAATCAGAATTAATATCTCGGAAAATGAAAATCTAAAGCGTTCTTAGATGAAACGAATCAGTTACACATTCCAAATGTTAGCGTCTCAACTCTGCCTTCTGTTGTTGTCTTTGCAACGTAAACACAATATTCACTTGTTAAATCTCTCAATTATTCTTTGTGCAAGGTTTGATTAAACGTTTAAAATATTTTTTTCAAAATAGAATCTTCACAGCTCATTTTCTCACTAGTTCAATGCTAAAAAGATTTCATATTCCTACTGCCAAGTTTTGTTAGTTTTATATTGTTATTATAAACCTGATCTAGCATTGGCTATAGGACTGTAATCAACAATTATTTTGATAATCGATCAGTAATAATTCTTTGGAAGGTTAAAAAACTACTAATCAATTACTAAATTAGTTGACCACAATTCAAATAATTGATAAGCTGTAATTAACTTAAGCTATAAGCATCTGACAGATGGTTTCCGTGGTGGGGATGCAGCGATACGATACTGATATCGGATATTTAATGATGAACAGAGAGGCCTTAGCAAGGCTTTTTATTCAATGTAATCAAACTAAAAGGCCGACCGATATTGGGCCAAAGCAGGAGGCAGGCGAGGAAAAAATCCAAGCAGAGTTGTGGCACAACATCATTTAATCAACATCTGTTAAAAAGCAACAGAAAGCCGAAACTCAGGATTACCCACATGTACCTGACAACACTGGGGTGATTCTCACAGGCTGATGTTCCGGCCCCTTCAATACAAGCAAGCACCTCCCTCAACAAGTATCATTAGCAAACAGCGATGCTCTGTATTCAACCTAGCAAATACTCTTTGAAGCAGGTTTCAGGTCCAGTGGCGGAGCCAGAGGGGTAGCCAGGGTGGCCACTGCCACCTCTAAAAATATCCTTGCCACCCCCAGTGCCCCCCTCGGAAGACGACAATGTAATAATGTTAATCTTGAGAATCTTCCGCACTTTTTCCGGCAAAAGCTAAAAATTCCCACGGTTTCCCCCGTCTGTGAACGCACCCTGACTCTGTGTGGAGCCGGTGCTGTATGCTAATGTTTTGGGTTGTTGGACTCAGGTGTGCCCAAGTCGTGATGAAAACAAAGAGGTAAGTTAGCGATGCAGAGCCAACCGTTTACATTTGACACAAAGTATAGACACACGTACTGCAGCGCATTACTTGTTCAGTGTGTAGAACTTTTAGTGTGTGTATGTGTGTGTGCGTGCCTGTGTGCGTGCCTGTATGCGCGCCTGTGTGCGTGTGTCAGCGTGTCAGTGTGTCTGCGTGTGTGTGTGTGCGTGCCTGTGCGCCTGTGTGCGTGTGTCAGCGTGCCATTGTGTCTGCGTGTGTGTGCGTGCCTGTGTGTGCCAGTGTGTGTGTGCGTGCCTGTGCGCGTGTGTGCGTGCCTGTGTGTGTGTGCGTGCCTGTGTGCGTGCGGGGTGCATGCGTGTTTATTTTCCATTATTAATTGCCCATCGTATCATCGCCCTCTTCCCTTTAGTGTAAACATTAAAAGAAAAGGAGGAAACATTGCCTACAGGCCTTTTTTTGTTAGGAAAAGTCCTGTAGATCAGGATGAAACCTGAAGGTCAGACTCGGAGGCAGTATGTTTTGAGATGATGAGGAATTTGTTGTGTTGTATTAAAATATAGCTTATATAATTGAGTTTCAGAGAATGAGAGGGTATCGCAGACAGGTGCAGGATTGTCTATTGGCAGAAGGCGTTTTTTCACACACAAAAAAAGAAACAAAATAGCTAAAATTATGGAGGATGTGCAGTCGCTTGACCCCAAACATTTTTTGAAAGAAGAGCCCCTGTTTTCATTTGGCAGAACCTTTGAGTCAGATATAGAGGACGTTAAGCATGAAGTACGTCAAACTAGGCAGCTTCTTGGGAGGAAAAAATGGATTAGAGTCCCTGTTGGAATTCCTTGTCCTTTTGGAACGTTTGGAAAGTGTTTCATGAGCTTTTTTTTGAGGCTTGCAAAGATCTTTTTAATACCTGTCAGTACTGCGTCTTGTGAAAGAAGTTTCTCTGCCCTAAAACTTATTAAAAACCATCTCAGAACTACCATGGCAGATGATTGAGTCATCTTGGTATCCTCAGTGTAGGGTAAAGGAGGGCTCAGGGCTGAATATGGATGAGTTTGTCAACATCTTTGCTGCTTTACACATGAACCGCAGGAATTTGCTAAATTTGTTAAAAGAAAAAATGTAATGCAATGTTTGAATGATGTTATTTTGCACTTTTTTTGTTCAGACTACTATTTAAATACACTTTTTTTTTTGCTTTGTAGTTTCCAAGTGCATGGGGCGACAGTAGCTCAGTTGGTAGAGCATTGGCCTTATGGCCAGAAGGTTGTGGGTTCAATTCCCACCTCTGCACCTTCTCCATCGACTCCCACTGATGACTGCTGTCGTTGTGTCCTTGGGCAAGACACTTAACCCCACTTTGCCCAAAGCCCCCACTGAAAGATCAAGGCTATGCTCACACTCAGAGAGCAGCTGTCCTCCTGTGGACTCACCACCTGCAGAGGGTCAGTGAGGGGCTGGGGCATCTCTGACTGCCACCCCCCTGACCCAGAAATGGATTAAAGGGTAGAAAATGGATGGATGGATGGAGTTTCCAAGTGTGCTCTCAGTTCACTTTATATTAAAAATAATGACAAGATTAAGATTAAAATGTATCGTTTAGCCAGTTTTTGTGCGAAATAAAATTTCGGAATAGTATAAATGTGGACCCCTCAAAAAAACCCTTGCCACCCCCTGGCCACCCTCTGTTTAAAAGTCTGGCTCCGCCACTGTTCAGGTCCCACAACAAAGAAATCAGAAACAGAAATCCAAGCACATAACAACAGAAATCAAAAGTACGGAAACCAATATCCCAAGCCTCCCCATCCACAAGGTCTGGCCCAAAGACCCTCCAAAGATCATGAAATGGTCGACAAAGGCCACGCCTCTTCTAGGACAGGACCATGTGGTGGGTATGGCACATGGATCTATTATAATAACTGGATAGGGTATTACTAGCTTGGACCTGAAGGACCCATGTGCTCGGGGGATTCTCGCGGTACTGCAGACTAAACAAGACTAAATTCACGTGGGATACCAGAAAACTCAATGTAAACTAAAACAGCTCGACCTCAGCTGACTGAGAACCTACAGCTTTCATAAAGGTTCGGAGTTTGTGGGATTTTAGTGTCCTTTGTCATCCTGAACTTTTTGTCTTCCCATGTCCTTTGGTTTTGTCTAAATCTAGTGCCACAAACGCTGCTCACTCTAATGGTGCGTTCAGACCGGATCATGCGTTGCGTCTGCTTTCAATGCAAAGTCTATGGTGACGAGCGTTTGAGCATCACAACGCACGGACCTCTCACGCACGAACGGACTGTTCAGTAGAGACGCACGGACTTGGCAGGAAAGTCAAAGGGGAGGAGCAGGAGCGAAAAATAGACACCCACAGGAGATGGATTCTGCTCATCCTTTCCTTGGAACGTTCGTGCGACAACCAATCAGAGAGCAGCAAAGTGGTCACGGGGACAATAGCGGACTGAGCGAGCAGACTGAAAACTCGTAAACAGCCAAAACAGGACCCACACCAGACTTCACCAGAACTCAAACCAGGGTTGACAATGGGGGACTCTGTGCTTGTGAATATATGTGTTGTAATGCTCCTTGACCTTATGCAACTGCTTCGAGTGTGTTCGCCGATGTGGAAATACCGTTTAATAATATGAAAAAACGTATGGCGCACCTCCGTGAACACATACTACTGTTATATAAAGACCATGGAATGTCTCTGTTCAAAGCTGCATTATTGGAGAAGATCTGTACACAAGAAGCCGCTAGCTAAACTCTGTTAGCATCAGAGCCGGCCGGCTACTTCCGGCACTTCCAGTGCGCGTCAGGACATCTCGGTGTGAAGACCCCTGCGTCTGAAAACTAGAGAATGCGCATCTGGTGAGCGGGGCTTCAGCGTTTCAGCGTTGGCGGTCTGAAAGCACCATAACTCCCGCTTTAACTCCGCTATGATTGGTCAGAGCGCAGCCGAGCCCCTCTGTGCACATACATGCGTATGCGTAGTATCTAGTACCGCGCATTGATATGAACACAGGCTTAGCTAGAGGGCGGAGTTACACATGGTAGTGATGTGTTGCAGTGAGTTCTGTGTGTGCAGAGTGAACAGCCGCAGCTGTATGACGCCCAGATGCCGCAACACACTTGTAAGTAACGATATGTGTCGTCAATGACAACACTACACAGAACAACAAACACTACAGCGTGATAGAGCGCTATATTCAGTGGGTGCGTTCGTAAATGTAATCTGCCGCTCTGAAAATGAAGAGCCCGAGCCCGGCCTGTGTCCGAGGTCATTATACGGTCATCGGCCCGAAGCCCGGTCCTCGGGCTGTCGGGGCCCTCGGGCTGTCGGGGCCCTCGGGCCAAGGGCTCAAGTGCAGGGCTCTAGGAGTGCTCTCCGTGTAAATGCGCCATCTTGAAAAACATGGAGGATCACAGTTATTTTAAAAAAAAACATGGAGGACCAGTTCTTTAAAAGAACCATGGAGGACCACAGTTATATAAAAGAACCATGGAGGACCACAGTTATATAAAAGAACCATGGAGGACCACAGTTATATAAAAGAACCATGGAGGACCACAGCTATATAAAAGAACCATGGAGGACCACAGTTATGTAAAAGAACCATGGAGGACCACAGTTATATAAAAGAACCATGGAGGACCACAGTTATATAAAAGAACCATGGAGGACCACAGTTATATAAAAGAACCATGGAGGACCACAGTTATATGAAAGAACCATGGAGGACCACAGTTATATAAAAGAACCATGGAGGACCACAGTTATATAAAAGAACCATGGAGGACCACAGTTATATGAAAGAACCATGGAGGACCAGTTATATGAAAGAACCATGAAGGACAACAGTTATATGAAAGAACCATGGAGGACCACAGTTATGTAAAAGAACCATGGAGGACCACAGTTATGTACACTGCAAAAAGTCAATTCTAAGCAAGTAAAAAAAGTCTTGAAATGAGAAAAAAAACCTTGTTTTTTGTATAAAAAGAAAAATTATCTTGTCTAGCAAAATTTCCTTGAGAATAAAATTCTTATTTTTAGAAATTAATTCTAGCTTTTTCTTATTAAGAAAAATGTACTTTAAAAAGTAATATTTGGATCCAAAACAAGCAACAATGACTTATTTAGGCTTTAAACATAAAGCCTCTTTCTTAATTCAAGAAAAAATAAGAAAACAAGAAATCTTAAAATAAGAAAAATATTTTATTCAATTGAATTCAATGCGTTTCACTTCAATGTATTTGTGTATCGTCCAAAACCACAGCAGCAGTTGCCTAGGAGGACATTACAAAGTTGTCGATTCACCAAAAACAGATCAGAGAATCATACGAACACAGGAAATGCAATAATAACAAACACATAAGAGCCATATAAGGAGCAGGATGACCACTGTCCAGAAATGTTAATAAATGTCTTTAAATGTCCCAGATCATCACTGTCCTTAGACCCTCCTGCATCATAGAGGAACCACAAACCCACCTATGTGACACAATACAAAATGATTGGCCAACCTCATGCTCGTGATGCAATCACGTCTCCAAGATCATATTTAATGGGCACATATATTACATCTTTGTGTACAACACTGTAATATGGAGTATAGTCTACAATAGCATCTGAAGAGATGAATTCATTTGCTTGAGCCATGTTTGGAATTTCAATTTGATATGCCATATAATCTCTATTGTAACTAACAGTGGCATAAGGCTGGAACTCAAAACAATACATATAAGAATTTACAACAAATATGTTTTCTTATCAGTCCAAATTCAGGTAAGTCATTTTTGACAGCATTGACAATTAATGTTTTACCAGAGACATATTTATTTCCATTTAGATTTATCCATTTAACTGACACTGCATGAGTGACATGTTCATTTCGAAAGAACACTCTTACTTTTTCTTTAAGATATAACATGTTTTTAACTTCAGATGTGGGTCCAAGAACACATTCAGTTGAGAAAATGGGATGATCAGAGCTTGTTGCATTCTGGCAACATTCATACATCTGATTATGTCTTATTAATGACTTGCAAACATTTTTAAAATTTACTTTTGACACCCACTGTTTAAAAAAACAATGCTTTGATTCAAATCTCATGCACATGTGACGTATCATTGGTCCGAGGTTTTTAATCTGACCTGGAATGTGTATTAAATAATGCTGTTTTGGTGTAATGTTTTGATCTGGAAAAGTACGCTTCATGCGTTTTAAATGTTGCTCAATTAGAATTTTGAATCTGTTAAGTGTTTGAGGGCTAATGACAGGAGAAAACAGGATCTGAACAATGGCTATAAGTTCAAGAATAATAGCATAACATTCAGTAGTTTTAGCTGTATCAATCAGAAAAGGTAGTATTTTTAGAAGAACAATCATTTGCCCTGATGACTGCTTTAACTTGTTATCATTAGAGGCTAAAGTACTGTATGAAATGGTACTTGGTTTGTCTCTGACGTCAAGTGGAGAATATGGGAAACCAACTATTCCAGCATTTAAATTGTCCAAATCAAGTTGGCCGAGGAGCACTAAATGCTTTAATACACATTTTATTTCTAAAGGCGCAATACCTTCAAGAATTATGTGCATTATATCTTGCGGGGTTTGTTTAATCATGTTAAAACCAGGAAATTCTATCAGTTTACTTCTCCTATTGATCCCATATGTCGTTTTTAGGCTATTTTTGAGAAACTCTGTACCAGCTTTTTCTATGTCACTGCACTGTCTGATATGCCTGTCAAGTGTTCTTTCCTCAAAGTGGTCTTCATTAAAGTACATTTGCATGTCTTCAAATGCACATTCACATTGTCGACATTTGCTATAGGCAAACCCCACACCCTCTTTGAACCCACAAAGCTCATGCTGTGCTAAAGTATCACCACAGATAGACACAACTGCTCCGTATATTTCCCTTTCACCTGTTGCGGTTTGAATTTTTACACCATGATATAATTTCACCAAATCCTCTTGCAGTCTTTCTAATACTTTGTCAACTCCACAATCAGACAGTTCATTTGTATTTGCCATGGCAAGTAGTCGAATTGAAGCTAACTTTGATCTATATTTAGGATTAATATTTCCCAAAGTATAATAAAACATTATTAACTTATTTTTTGAAGCATGAGAACCAAGCGGGTTACATATTTCAATTTCATCAGAATAAAGAATAATTTGCAAAGCAGAAGGGTGACTTGAGAAAAAATGGTGTGATTTTATGAGTTCTCCATCTATAATGTCACTAATGTATCCATTTCTATTTGTTTGGTCCTGGTCTATGACAGCTAAAACTTTAGGATGAGACAAAAACTGTTCTAAGCTTTTTGTAAGAGGGATATAATGAAAACATTTTAGTTTGGTGGACAAAAGCCTTTTTGCTCCTTTTTTTCGAAAGCATGCCGCATATCCCACCGCCACTTCCTCTGATTCAACAAAATTGAAAGTCTTCTTGATCACAC